GGATATAGTGAACCAAAAAAGTGAGGAAGTTGGATATAGTGAACTTATTTCTGTCTTCGACTGATTTTTTTAAAAAATAAATTGTGATAATTTTGAAATTTCTACTTCAAATTAAATACATATACCAACTTTCAAAACCATCTATAGAGGGGAATGCAGCAATAAGCATTTTTTTTGTTTGCTTCTTTTATCTCACTTTCCCATCCCTAAACAAACCAAGGAGATGTTTCCAACCCAGGCAGACAATGCACCTGTAAGGTGTCACTGGGATCAATATGCATTTTTTTCAGAAAGAATGAGTAATTATTCATTATTGGTCAAAGAGTTGGACACTAATATGTGTTGATAAGGCCATCATTTCAACTCTTTTTTGCTCTCAGTTCAGTTAAAATAAATCCTGCAAACAAATGCCTCAAATTTAACTATGTCTAGCAGTAAACGTAATACGTTCTTCATTGATGATAAAATGGGCAAAATCAGAAAAATTTAAAATGGATGCAATCAAGCTGATATTTGCAGGGAATATAAACTTTCCAAATCTGCAGTTTGTAACATATGGAGAAAAAAAAGGCAATTAATAATTTCTGCTCATGAAAAAAATTTAGATGGTGGAAAAAAGTTGAGAAAAGCAGATCACAAGGATAATGAAAAAACATTGCTGAAGTGGTTCACCAATCGAAGAAGCCGCAATCTTCCAGTATCTAGCAAATGTCGATGAATTTGCTAAGCGATTTTATGAAACTACTTTTATGTGCTTGAATGGCAGGTTAGACAGGTTTAAAAAGCGGAATAACAGAAATTCAGGAAAAATTATCTGAAAGTCGGGAAGTGTTTCCATACCTGATGGTAAGGATTGCTCATCAGATAAAAAGTAAAAAAATTTTTGTACGCAAGACGAAGAGTAATGAAAAATAACACATTTTTTGCCGCTACATAATATTTTACAGTCATTTATTTGAATAATGTGTAATAAAAGGGAGGAGTTAAGGAACCATTAGTTAAATTGACTGCGTAACGGATATAGTGAACTCCCGGTAATAGTGAGCCGAAACTTCGGTCCCTTGAAGGTTCACGAATGTTTGTATGTGAAGGTTTGTATGTATATATATATATATATATATATATATACACACAATATATAAACTAATTACTTGGAACTCTAATGTTTCTAGGAGCATCTATTTAAATACCACTTTTAATGAAATGAACAGAATTAAAAGAATATGTAGTAATATTTATTTATCCAAAAAACAAATCGATAAACTCTTTCAAAATTTGATAAAAAAAAACAATGGATACCCAACTAAAGTAATAAAATTTTATTTAAAATCATTGAATTAATTGTATATTTTTGTAGATATATTTACTAAACTTTTTTTTTGTTAATTTATATAATTTTCCCATGTGCAAATCCATTTCGGGTAAATCCATTGCCAAAATTATTTACTAAATAATTTCTTTGTTAATTTGTTAATTTTTCCATGTGCAAATCCATTTCGGGAAAAACCGTGGTTAAAGTTATTTACTAAAAAAATTCCTTTACTAAATAATTTCCTTTGTTAATCTATAAAATTTTTCCATGTGCAAATCCGTGGGTAAAATTGTTTGCTAAAAATTTCTTTATTAATTTATAAAATTTTTCCATGCGCAAATCCATGGCTAGAATTTTTTTCTTTGTTAATTTTTCCATGTGCAAATCCATTTCGTGCAAATCTGTGGCTAAAATTATTAGCAAAACAGGCAGTTTATTTTTCTCTTTTCTATTTTATATTTTTTCTTAAATAAACATCTATTTCCTAAAACTATTTATGGTCAATTTTTAAAATTATCCAGTATAATATTACCTTGTGCACATCCATTTCGGGCCTATCCTTGGTAACTAACAAATCAATGCACAGAATAACAAATCACTCCAGCAGTGCAGTAAGAACGGCACTTTAAAACCCTCTAGTTACACTTAATTTGCGCTTTTGTTTTCATATTTTGTAATGTGGCAATCTTTATGCGAAAACATTTTTAAATCTGTCTTGAAGAATTTCCCGTCCATGTAAGTAGATCTGATTTCGCTACTCACTTTATAGTCAACTTTTATACTGTTTTTTCTTTTTATTTTATTTTATTTTCTGTTTTTACATGTTATTTTTACTTTTCATGTTCTATTTTATTTGCTGTAATTTTTGTAAAAAATTTTTTAAGTGCTCCTCACACTATTGTTTTAATATATTTTGCTTTGGCTTTATTTATACAATATCAGAAAGCACTCTGTTTTGCGGATATATCGTGTGGGCTGATGAAAAGATTATATCTTTTTTTCCCTGTATTTTTAAATAAAATTTCATCCTTTTTTTTATTATTATTAAACTGTTGTTTGTTATTTTTTTACTTATTATTCCCCCCCCCCTTCTTTCATATGTCTATAATTTTTCTTTGTTTTATCTTCATTTATATATATATATATATATATGTCAATTAACAAGAAAAAAGTGGAATTAAAATTACCTAAGATTATTTCAATCTGTGTATTCCAAAAGCTTTTATAAGCCAGGTAGAAGATACAAGAACTGACTAGTTTTAAATTACTAAATATACCTTAGATATTTATTAAATTTTTTTCATTCAGGTTTGTTTTTTATTATTATTATTTTTTTAATGTAGCTCTCTTTTTCTAGTGCTTCATAGTAATACTTCAACTTTTAGTTTTTTCTAGTTTCAAATTACCAAATTCTTAGTTCTTTGAAACATAGATTAAGGTAAAATTATTAGAAAATTAAGTGTCACCATTATTTATATATGCATGAGTGTTTCAGTTCTAGATATTCTGATCAAAACATAATAAACATAAATCAAAACTTTCCCCTACAATGGAATGCAAACAATCTTCATAACTTGCTACAATAATGAATCACAAGCGATAAGCAAGCTACACACATGACACAATGTTTTTTGACAATTTACAAATGACAGAAAGCCTGCAAAAATGGTTCTTTGTATACAACAAACAGCTATCATAATGTAACAGCTATCATCTATTATAAATAAAAATCAATTAGTTAGGGATATATTTTTTACCCTGAGAAAAATTTTGAAATTCCAACTCCAAAATAAAATATAAAAAAATAAACATACTTTTCTTGATTACAATTAGTCCATTATATGAATTATTACCCATTGCTCATGAGCAAAGGGTAATAACAATTGATTAAAACTGGTATTTTAGCAGATCAATAAATTTGAATCCTTTAACTCAAAATTATTTAATTTAAATTTGATGTTAAATTATGACTGTGATGAACAAGTGATTTACTTTCAACCGCAAAGGTCATCATATCAACAATAGACTGTACAATGGTAATTATCAAACTAGAAATGTTAAAAATGCTTATACATTAATTTAGGGCTCTGTTTAAATTATTTAATGACTGAATGGCTTTTATATAAAGCATAATAAAATGTAAAATACAAGTAAAGTGATGTAAAGCAGAAAATTTCTAAGAATGGTATATTAAAACAATTTCAAAGCATTTTTTAAGTTTAAAGTAAACAAAATTCAATAAATTTAAAATCTTCAAATATTTTGTTTTATCTGAAAGCTACAGAAACTGTTAGAGATGAAATCAAAATTTTAAACCTTTTCCAGTTAGTAAGGAAAATGCACTAAATAAATAATAAATTAAATAATTATTAATATATTGAATCAATGAATGCAAAAACCAGTCATATCCACTTATTTTCAAAATTGAGATTCTTCAATTTTTAAGTTTAGCTGATATAAATACATTGTTAAGAAGTAAAAAAATTCATGCCCTCCTACTTGGTGTAGAATATTTTGTGCAGTAAAATCTCAATTTAGTTTCTTTTTTTAAATATGTCATATTTTGGAGATGACCTGCTTTTGGCTGACATTTTTGCTAATGAAATTGTTTATATAACCAAACAATTAATGATTTATTCTTGTTATTCTGTTGACTTTTATTACACAATGAGAGATTCAGAGGTTAATAGATCTTTATATGGTATATACAAGAAAATCAAGAGGGATAAAAGTAATTATCAGTTATATAGGAGATGACTATAAATATGATACTTGATATTAAAAGTTGGTAGCTGGAGCATAATAAGGAGAGTAAATTGGGCAACCCAGGCCTTCCAGTCCCTACACCAAAAGTCAGATGCCTCCCAGCAATGAAAGCAACTGCAAACTGTACAAAAGTCCGAGCAATTCGCGGACACAAGGGAAGGCCCCGAGTCACACAAGATAAAAGCAACACTGTAGCATCAATGAGCAGAGGAGCCCAAAAGCCCTGGCCAAGCCACAGAGGCAGAGCTGCCAAACCGGCTGCAGACCACAGGATTAGTAGGGCTGACAACAGTGAGTCACACCACACAGCCCTCCGACCAGAAGGCCCAAAAGCCAAAAAGAACATAAAAGTCAGGCAAACAATTTTACAGAACGAAGATCAATGGGGATCTGCTAGGCGAGCTACAAAAGTAGGTGTCACTTCTGTCTTAATTCTCATTTGTATTTGTTATAGCCAATGGTCAGTCCCAATAGTTTGTTCCTCTTTGTATTCCTCGTACGGCTCTCTTGTATGACACACAGTTCTTGCTTACGGCTCTATGGTCTGCTCTCAGGTTTGAACCATACGTTAGGTTAGTCTCATTGCAGTTAACGCATTTCGTTTGTCCTTGGCAGGAATCCATTCGCTGTCCTGGTGCGTCACAGTTGAGTATGTTTCTTGATGGTTGTAATCTTTGTCCATATGGCCTAGAGGATAGCATTTATAACACCTGAGCGGTCCCAGGTACTCTTTTATTCTATAGCGCTTCCAACCAACGTTTACTCCATCGCATTTGAAAATTTTCTAAATTTTATTGGCTCAAGTGTGACTACCCAATGGTATCTTCTTTTACACCAGACTGGAAATGAGATTTCGAAGTCTCCTTCATTAAAATCATCGTTTCTGTCCCTAAGTTGTCTAGTTAGTCCTTTTTTGGTTAATGACTCTAGTAGCTCAAATATTATTCTGGGGCCCTTGGCACTATATTTCTGCTAGGCACTCAGGCCTTTTTTGCTGATTTGCTTTTTCATTATGGCTAAGTCATTACAAAAAATTTGCTATAAAATGCTCCTATGGAAAAGCAATAAAGAAATAATAGTTTCAGGTGTCCCATCATAGAAATTTTACTTGTAATAGTACTACACCTGATGAAGTTGGAAGTATCTCCTTTCATTGACTATTATAATATTTACTCTGTACAAAAAAAGTATCTCAAAAGTAGCAACATAACCAGTTAAGGAAGCATATTTCAGAAAAGTTGCCGCGAACAACAAGAGAAGTACAGGCATCAGAAAATGTTTTACAATATAAACCAAATGAGTTTTATTTTTCAATGAAGAAATTTGTAAAGGGCCCAGCCCAAATATTCATTTTCCAAAAGATTTCTGATCCTACCCAAATATTCATATATATGTAGTCTAAGACTTAAATAAAGTCTTTATTTTATTTCTAAATGCCAAATTATTAAGATTTTTGCTTGTTAAAAATAATAAATAGTACTTTTTTTAAGGTTTTGTTCAAAAACCGGTCATCACTAATTCTAATAATTTTTAAATTAAAAAATTAGGTGATGTTATTGTACAACTGCATTAGAATATTTCGTAACTAGCTATATTTTAATATTAAAAAATATTTTTAAAAAACCTCAACACATCAAGATGATACTTAACTATTCGGTTTTTTGCTTCAGCTATAAAATTAGTTGATGGAGATGACCGGTTATCAAACTCATAGATTCAAATAGATTTAATGCTTTTTGTAATTACTTCTACAGGAGTCTACAGGATTGGATTACTTCTACAGGATTGGATGAAAATGTAATTGAAAGATACTATTTTAACAAATAAGCATAAGTTTTGCATATTTATTTATGGAAATCGTGATTTTAACTTTAATTTAATACTGGCATTTATTTTAAAAAATATTAGTTCATACAAGACTCGAATTATATAAAAAAAGAAATATTCAACTGAGTGCAAAGATTTAAATTTAATCTAAAGAAGATTACATTTTCCATAAAATTGTAAGAAAAGTAAAAATTCTGAAACCAAGTGTAATATATATATGTTGGCTTGACTAAATAAAACAGAAATAATCTCTACAATAAGAAAAAACCGCATAGAAAGGTTAAAATGCCTTTCACAAATTGACCATAAACTTTTGCACGCCATAAACTTCTGACCATAAACTTCTATTAAAAAATCAACACAAAAATATGGTAAAAATATTGATTTATCATTTCGTATGGGATTCAAAAATAAAATTTTAAGAAAATGTATTTTGTGAAACTACCGTTTTTGTGAAGGTTGAATTTGAATTTGTGAAGATAAACTGTAGTAAATTTGACCTGGACAGACCCCTGTTCTAGTATCTTAAACTTATACTTATCCCAAGCTGTAATAAAGAAAGCTTAATCACTGAGAAATATTTACAATATGGTATGGTTATTTTTTCAAAACAGAGAAAAACAAATATAATGAAAATTACCATATCCTTGAAGCTTACTATGATGCAATATTGCAATTGAAAATTCACCAGAATTAATTTTAGTTTTAAAACATCTTATTATTTATTAATGTATATTATATATATATATATATATATTTAAATACACCTCCTAAATTATAAAGTTAGTTTCAAATATACACTTTCTTGCATTGATAGTTTCTGCAGCAGTCCTGTATAAAGCAGTCTTATTAAAAGAAAACTATATTATTACCTATCGGGTCTTTCAACATAGAAAGCATAATCATAAGTGTGTGTTGCTCCACTCTCAGATGCAGAAGACCCAAAGACTCCATAAATAAAGAAATTGTCTCCAATTGCTAAATTTCCAGAAAAAGCTCTCATCAAATTGCGATGCACAATAGCTTCACGTGCAGAGGGATAAGGAGGAACATTGCGGCGAAATCGATACCACCCAATAACAGACTGGAAAGAATTACAATATGACAATTAGAAATGCCTACAAATGATAAATGCCTTATGAATAATAATGCTATACAGCATGCAACAGTTGAAGCAATCAATTTTTACTATAACAATGATCGAAGTATTCTTCCTGTAAATGGACGACTCTCGTAAACGGACAATAGTTTCGGTCCCAAGAGTGTCCACTTAACCGATATTTTACTATATATTAATTTTAAAGCAATTAGCTATAAAAGAATTTTTTAGCATCATCAAAATCAGTTTTCAAATAGAATAAAATTAGATTTTAAAAAAATTCTTAAAAAAATTACTTATTTAAAATTTCAAATCACATTTTACTACTTTTAACAGGGCATCTGCTACATTTTAGATTTTCAAATTCATGATTTTTCATAACTTTAGTGAATAATTCCAAGAATTTTTCATGACTTTCCGAAGTTACTATTTTCTCCACAAAATACAACAATAAATTTAAAAAGCTTTATAATAACATTAATTAAAATGATAAGTATACCCAAAACTGTTATACTCTGTATCTTATTACTTATTGTTTTTAAACATAAAAAACAGAGTAAAGGAAAAGTTGAAGCAATAAAATAGCTGAAAAAAATATAAAAGCAAATAACTAAATACTGTTAGATATATGTAGTTATTTAAAGCTGTTAATTATGTCCGTCTTCAAAGCGTAATATAAAATGTCTAAACTAGAATTTTAAATTGATAAAATAAAAAATAAATAGATAAAAAAAATTCTGAAATCACAGGAGTTAAAAATATAATTTGCCTTAGAAATGATGTTCTTTCTTTCATACTTTGAAAGAACACTATAATTTTCAAAGAACAAGATAAAAACATTTTATACTTTAATAGAATATGACTATGAGAGTGGATTTTGCTACAAATTTTAGATATTTGGAACATTGAAACACTGTTAAATTGGGGGGGGGATTCCATTTTAAAAATTAAGATTTTTCGGCAACCTAAAACTATGACTTTCCATGATTTTTTTAAAAAATAGATAAAATCATGACATTTCACGACAAATTTTGTTCAATACCGAAATCCATGACTTTCTAGGTGAGCAGATATCCTGTTTAAAGTTTTGAGGAAAAATTCATAGAAGTTCTAAATATTACTTCTATCATTCCTAATCTAATAAATAAACATTTTATTTTTGACCTTTTTAGAAAGATATTTTTCTATTTATATACAATTTTTAACGATTATATAAAAAATTTTAAAATTTTTATAGTATGTAATTAAATTTTACAAGGCAAAATACAAAATTTGAGCAAAATAAATTGAATTTGAAACATATGAATTAGTTTCAATCAAAATTAGTTTAATTACCTTTATTCTGTCACCTAGAAAATTTTTGATGAAGTCTAAGTTAATTACACCTTTGCTATCATAGAATGATAGAAAGCTACCACATGGATAAGCAGAAAAGACACCTGAAAAAAAAATGAGGAGGTTAATTTAAAAGCAGGTTTTGAAATCAAAACTATTTCAAATCGAAAGAAATTACTTTATTTCAGACTCAGTTCAGGTCAGATTCAAAATGGAAAAAAAAAATTTATTCGGATGTGAAAAATCATTAATATTATACATTAGCAAAAATTTATAGGTAGACCCCACACAAAAATAAATTTAAAAAAAAAAAAAGAAGCTACATGGAACTTTAAAAAGCCTTTTTTTTCCAGTCAAATCTCTGAGCAACAGATCCTTGCAGGACTAATTCTAATTGACCAATGTTAAGAAGTGGCCACTATTCAGAGTAATAAAAAAAATGTCAAAAGATAAAATATAAAAAATCCCGAACAATAGATCAAATTCACTAAAATAATGACCTAATAATAAGAAATTTTTATTTTAAACAGCATAGGCTTCTGCATGTGTATGAGAGTCCAGGTAGCTGAGGAAAAAACCGCAGAATGAATCACAAGATCAAAATTAAAAGGACAGAAAAAGTAAAATAGTTCATTAACTACTTTCTTATTGATTGCAACTGTAAAAAAAAAATCAATGAAAAGCAAATAATTTTGTCAGACATACAAAAAAAGGAAACAATAATGGCAAAAGTTTCAGGGCATTTTCATTTTTATTTCAAATATATGTTTCAGCTCTCTGAGGAAATAAACCAAAACATAATTACAATGTACAGTTTTTTTCCTTATTTATGCAAAAGGCCAGTTTATTTCTTTTAGGGTTTCTGTGTTTTTTTCTACATGATACAAATCAACTTTTTTTTCACTCTTGAATGCTCGGATTACTTACTTTTATTTGTCAAAACTATTTAACTTAATATTTTTATTTAAAAAACGTCTTTGTTACAAAGCATGCGAAAATTAATAACTGACTAAGACTTTGAAATATAACTTATTTAATTTCTTTTTTGTAGTGATTGAGAGATGAATTCTGAATATATATTTATCTAATTTTTCTATTTTGGATATTATTTTAAAAATTATTACGAAACTGTTTTGAGAAGTGAATTATTAAATAATACATAAAAATTAAGAAGTTAAAAAAAGGGTGTTTTCAGAATAGTTTATCAGCAAGATTTATTACTTGCATAGTAACTAAAAAGTGTAATGCCAATCATGTGAAATCTAGGTAGTCCCGTTTTTTCTTACAAATCTTTTCATTTGTTATAAATTATACGTCATACATTAGTAAAAAATATCAAAATCTTTCTCCAAAATAAAAGTAAAATTTCTTAACAGATGTATTTAAGAGGACAAATAAACACATAATTTACTTTAAAGTTAATGAATGGAATTTTTTGAAGTACTGTATACATTCCTGAAATGAAATGCACATTGCTTTCTGTTGCATGTTCATTTGCATTTTTCAAGGTATGAATTTTTTATGTATCTAAGATAGTACAAAAAATTATCATTTTTTATCTTTTTTACTTTTTGCTTTTTAAATGAATGAAAAAAGGTAATAAATTTTAAACATTTGCTTTCTAAAATTTCCAAGTAAATAATTGACGATTTTAATGAACATGCAGGAAGGCTCATTAAATTTAATTAATGACATATGTACGAATAAACATAAAATGAACAACTAGTACCTACAATATGCATTCATGTTTCTTTAATAAATGATTGCATCTATTGCAATTAATCTTTCTTTCGTAATTAACAAAATTTGAACCAAATAAAATATATTATCAAACAAAAATAAAATTCACAAATATAACATATATTTTTAGTATTCTTTAAAATATAAAATACAGTCAGCCCTCGATACAAGGTCATCCACATATAAGGTCACTTTTCCAAAGTCCCGACTCACTGAATAGGAATGCTTTGTTACAGATTATCGGATATGTGGTCAAGTTTTAAAAATCGTTATCGCTTATAAGGTCATTTTTATCTGAGGCGAGGGGCTCTTTTCTAACAAAAGCCTAGTTAACTTCTTTACAAGGCAATTACCCCTCTCGAGTTCAAGGAAAATGTTGCAGTTTGTGAAGAAGCGAAAAGTTGTTTTCATAGCAGACACAGCTCATAACATCCCACAGTTAGCCTCAATTGACATTTTTGTCTAAAAAAAGTGGGTATAATGGATGAAATAATTTAAATTAAGAAAATTAGTAAATAATTTAAATTAGTGAAATTAAAACAATTATTGAAGAAAAAATTTCCAGCTTTTCTTTAAAACTCCCTGATTTTTCCAGGTTTTTATCCAAATTTTCCTGATTTTTTCAGGTTTTTTCCAGTATAAAAAAATTCACTGATAATTCCAGGTTTTCCAGGTGGGTGGCCACCCTGTCCAATTTCTGAAATTGTTTCACACGTTGTGGACAGTGAGGACAATGACAGTGATCCTGAGACTGTAGCTGTAACCCAAGCGGAAGCCTTCAATGCAATAAATGCTATACGAAATCTTTTTACAAACCATGAGGGACATTTTAAGAAGTTACAAAATCTACAAAACATTGTTCGAAAAAGGGAACTAAAAGCGAAACAGGCCTGCATAAATGATTATTTTAAAAAAAGGTAAGATGTAATGTATGTATGTACACTTTGAGGAAATTTGTAAACAGCTTTATTTTAAATTAAAAAAAATTTTAAAAATCTAACTTTTTTTAATTCTTTTCTAATTCTGCTAAAATATATTGACTTAAATATTTAATTTATGGCCGATCGTTTTCGTTTGTATCACCATTTTTAAGAAATCATAATGTGTACTATTTACGTGTTTAGTTATGAACTGCTAATGATTCGGTTAAAAGGGTACCCCGCTTATAAGGTCACTTTTGCGATATCCCTTAGGGAGACCTTATATCGAGGTCTAACTGTATAAATTTAATCCTAGGTGTCATGACAATTTCATTAAACTAAGAATTCAAAATATCAGAAAGTGAGTATCCTTAGTCTATAATAGAAATCTTATAATAATAATAGAAATCTTATAAAATAAAATTGGGAATATTTAGGTCAAATCTTTTAAAATACTCGTCACAGACAATTTTCTTTTCAACTGAAAAAATTTTTTGTTCATTCTTTGTCTAAAAATATCATAGTCATCTTGAAATACTGAATCATGGATCTGTCCAGACATTTTGTGAACGGTCCGTTTTTTGTAAAATTGTGAAAAAATTACTCACATTCTTTCAACCAGGGTCCTCTTTTATGAATTTGTGCAAATAGGGTCCGGTTATTGCAAAACTTTTTCAAGGAGTTTTTAAATTGTAAAGACANAGTTTCTAAATTGCAAAGACATACAAGATTATGCTCAATGCTGTAAAATTATAATTAAAAAAATTAAATTTTAAAAAATAAACAGCAAATGCATCTACTAAATAAGCGATGCAACATACAAATATTTGGCATTTAGCCGACTGCTGAACGCAGAATATTAATTTCGGACGAATAAAGGAAGAAGCGTCTGCGGAAGACAAAATTTAGTTCGTTTACGTCTGTCTTTCTCCCCACCCTCCTGGGAAGGGTTTATTCGATTAACAAAACAATAATGAAGATAAACAAATTTGTGAAGGGTCCGATTAAAAGATAAACTATTTTGTGAAGGGTCCGTTTCTAAGTTAAAATATTTTGTGAAGGGTCCGTTAACGGACCCAAATTTCTTCTAAACAGACCCCTGTGAATATACATCTGTTGGTGTATTTTAGCACACCCTGAAGGGTTTACAATCCAAATAAATTATGCAATTAGTGTAATGTGTATGCATATTGCACATAATTTGTTTAAAAGATAATATATTATAATTTAGTAAAATGCTTTTTCTAATCATGTACTATATTTTCTCATGCTTAATTATAAATTTTGTTTGCAAAAAACAGATTACTGAAATACGATTTTCTTCATATAATTTTGTATAAAATGTGACAAAGTTAAATTTTAAAACAAAAAGTTTATATTTTCAAAGAACAACATAGCTTGAAAATTGCAGAGAAAATGCATTTGGAATAATAGATTGTGAGAAAAAAAACTGATTGGTCGGCATTAAGATCAGTTTTTTCAAGCGGAATTCATTTGAAAAACCTGCTGGGTTTTTCCGGACTGGGCCCACCTTGACAAACCTTGTAAAAGGCTTAAATAAATGGAGATATGGCATTTTAAATCACTGCCAGTAAGAGGAAAAAATACTTTCAATTAAATTTAAAAATTTATAAGTAAAAGCGATAGAATTATTTTTTACTGATTATTTCATTTTTTTATATTTATTTTATTTTTTATTATTTTCATGAATATTTCAGATGTGCTCTGCTTAATTTGACATAAACAGTTAAAATTCAAATACAGCTGATGAAATATTATTTGTAAGGAAAAGTATTTATTCTAAAATATACATACTTATCATAAGGTCTTCCTCAGTATTGCACATTGATTGATCATTAATCTCAAAACGAATTGATTTATAACTTCTTCCAATTAAGAAACCCTCCTAAAAATTGAAATTTTTGAATTATTTTAAGGCAATATTGTTTAAGATAAACAATACTAACAATATAAATGATTAAAAAATAAGTCTTTAATGAGATGCCTAATTTTTTTCTTTTTAATTTATAATTGTATAATGAAATGCTTAAATAAAAAGAAAGACATGTTATTTAAAAGAAAGCACATTTTGAATTTTTATTGCTTTTCAAAGATGCAGATAGCAGATACTGATCAAAGATAAAAGAAAATACTAATTTAAAAAATAATAGCAAATACTAAATTATTTAGAACATTAAATTGATTTAAATTAAATCACTTGATTTTTAAATAAAAAGTAATTGAATTAAACCAAAAACATCAGATGCATTTTTCTTTCAGGAATTAGGACAATGTAGCTGGTGGTTGCCTACATATGTTTGCAAAATAATCATTTTGGGTTAAAATTGTAACAAAACAAAATGTTTGTTTTTCACTTTTCTATATTGATAGCAGAAATCTAAAAAAAATGTCTTTATTTATCTCTTTTTGAGTAATATTGCTCATTTAAATATGAAAGAAAATTCTTTGTTTGCACCCCCAAGACAGAACTGCGGTGACATTGGCGCAGAAAGTTACAGAATTTTTGCAGAAAGATTTTTTATTTAGGAAAGAAAAAATTTTGGTTTTCCTTTCTGCATAATTTTTAAGAAGAAAAAAAAAATTCTGTAGAATTTTTTTTTAAAGATGTCTTTTTTGCACATCAGAGAGGAAAGAAATAATCATGATTTTTCTATTCTTATTTGGGATTTTAAAAAAAAAATCTATAATGATTGGCTTCAGCTAGAATTTATTATTTTCTGTATATAAATTTATTTCAAATGGATATGCACCTCAAAGTTATAGTATACAATGATATAATACAATAATGTAATTTATAACTAAGATTTTAATATTTAATTAACAATTATCAGCTCATATTGAAAATCTAATACATTTATCAGTTTCTTAAGTTTTTAATATTAAGAAGATTTTACCACACACAGTTATGAGAATAGTTAGTTTTACAATTAGGTGATAGCTTACATCATATCACTTGTCCAATGGTTTGTTATTTGCTGACATACATGTATACTACCCTACAATAATGGAAGAAACACTTTGAGTGTTTGACATTTTTTAAATTTCTCAAGAAATACTTAAAGAATTATTTTATAACTTAAGAGATGTTCAGTTCAAGCAATTTTTAGACTTAGCAAGGAGATTTAAAGTTTTCAGAGGTTTGGGATACAGACAATAAATTATGAAAGAAAACAAGTATTTTTTAACACCCAATGCCAGAAAATCAAGCAATAAGCTAGACTTCCATTAATAGCAGCATAAAATTTATTCTATTTAATAGCAGCATAAAATTTTGTAAACCAAAAGTAAATATTTATGGAGATATAGACATTTTTATGAAGGAAAAAAAAACTAATTTTTTTGCTATAACCAGGGTTGGCAGGTTTTTGACATGTGACAGTTTTTGNTTTTGACGTCAAAAACCCAACCCTGGCTATAACTTTATAAATATGCAATGGAATCAAACAATATTTTTGGAGCAATATGATAAAGCTAAAAAATGTACAAGATATAAGTATTTAAGGCATTTCTTTTGAACAGTATTTGGAAACTTAAAAAAAAAAAAAAAAGTTTGATTTAAATATTTTAAAACTTTCTGTAATTTCTGAAGGAAAAATCAAAACTATCATGGATTTTCCTGAAATTTCATTTTGTACCATTAAACAAAATTTATTAAAAATTAGAGTGGTATTGTGGGGGCTCATTTCCCCCACAATGCCACTCAAAAAGTATGTTTTCCTCCCTTATACCATCACATTTTGGCTTCAGGACGATTATTGTATGGTATTATCATTTGTTATTAAATTTTCCTTTAGGGAAACAAAATAAAATTTGTGGCAAACTCCTGATCATTTTGAGCTTTCCTTTAAAAACTACTAAGAAAACTGCTTGAAATTTTGAAGATATTCAAATCAAACTTTTTTCATTAGTTACCAAATTTCAATACAAAATTAGAAAAAAATATTTAAAAAATTTTCTGTGCATGCTCAGTGTAACCGAACTACCTTCAATATTTATATCTTGTGCAGTTTTTAACAAATTTTTTCCAGAAATTTTAAATAAATAATTTTTTAATTTATTTTAAATATTTCCAAAAACTTTTGCTTGATTCCATTCAATATTTATAAAGTTGTAGCAAAAAAAAATGTAAGGCAAAAAAATTAGTTTTTGATAAAAATATCCATATTTCCATAAATATTTACTCTAAGTTTATGAAATTTTATACAGTTATTTCAATTATCAACTTTAGTAATAGATACAAGTTACAAGCTTATTGTTTGATTTTCTGACATAGGGTGTTCAAAAACATTTCTTTTCTTTCATAATTTATTGTCAGTCTCCCAAACCTCTGAAAGCTTCAAACCGTATTCCCAAGTATAAAAAAATGGACTAAACATCTATAAAGTTATAAATTAATCCTTTAAGTATTTCTTGAGAAATTTAAAAAAGAATATCAAAAACTCAAAGTATCTTCTTCCATTATTGTTGGGTAGTGTAGTATATTATATATATATACACACACACACAGTGAAACCTCCGTTGAGCGGACACTCTCGGGACCCAAAAAATTGTCCGTTTACGAGAGTTGTCCGTTTAGGGGACGGGTATACATTGATAAAGAATACTCAAGCCATAAATTGCTTTAAGAATAATTGCAATGATTTAGAAATAATTAAATATATAAGAACTATTCACATTGACATTTATTAAAACGTAACAAAATTATAATATTTATAATACAAAAAGAGAAGATTAAGAAACACATGCCTCTATTTTCTTTTTTCCAGTTGAAAAGAAAGATGGGATAGAAGTTTGTTTTAAGTGACTGCAATAAAAAGGTAGGCATGGTCTATAACTCCGTCCCCACATTGGTGACCTTCGGACGTGATCTGAACATGCAGTAAGGCCCACTTTGATCTGGTAACGCCTACTTTGTTGGATGAACAGTTGACTTGCTACTCGTGACTGTGACATAATCAACCTCCACACGCTGTTGCTACTCGTCTCGTCGCGATTAAACACAATGTCTGCCAGCATACACTCGACTGCTAATGGCAACACAGGAGCGACTACGATTGTGAAGTTAATACACCTCTCACATTCAGCAATCAAACACTCGGTGACCTTAAAACCAGCTCTCCCGGTACTTCATAAGTACAGCAACTAGTGGTATCTGTTCATCGAATCCTATCCCTGATAAAATTCTAGTGGGGGAGTATTGTGGTGTAACTACCACTACCACTATGAAATTTAAACATCAATTCACTGGTATATAAGAAAAGCTAACTTGATTCAATCATTCCAGTAAACACCAAAAATAATAACTATCTAATTGCATTCTATGCGGACGACACGGCAATAGCCATGCGTTCCATGAATCCAAACCAGTCTGTCGTTAATCTCAATAAACTTATGCCACCTATAGAAAATTGGTGTATTGAAAATAAAGTTGCTATAAACACTGGTAAATCCAATCTAATGGTCATCAGAAGGAAAAAGAGATTTAAAAACAATAATAGCAATGTTACTCTATTCAATAATCAAATACCAATTACAAATAAGGCCAATTACCTAGGCCAGGGGTGGCGAACCTTTATACACCAACGTGCCATTTTTTCTAAAAAATTGCTTAATGAGGTCATAAATGTGCCGTCAAATAATTTAATAATGGGATTTAATTAATGGGAAAATAATAATACTTAACACTATCAACTCAAAACTCTTTATTTACATTGAAAATAAATACATTTTGACATGTCTTAAAACAACTTAAAGTAACATCAGTGTGACTTCTGTTGTTGCAGATTCGATGACAAATAACTTATGTTAGGTTTTAAAATGTTAGTTTAAGCAGGACTGTTAATTTTTTTTGCTAGTTGTTTATTGCTGGCTTGTTTTTTTTAGTATTAATTGTTAATTTTTTATTAATAATTGTTTATTATTTTGTTTGTTTTTGTGAATTTTAATTTAATTGTTACATATGCTTCATAGTGTAATAACATTTGTGTAATAGCAATTCATTGTGTAATAACAATTGTGATCGGTGGCGTGCCCAAAATATTGTGCATCGTGCCATATATGGCACGCGTGCCATTGGTTCGCCATCCCTGACCTAGGCCTATGCATAAATGATAAACACACATGGAACCTCCATATAGATAAAACAGTAAATAAAGCCTATGCTGCCTATAGCTGCATTAGACCACTACTGAACTCTAACTCAGCACTTCCACTTAACCTAAAGAGGCTACTGTATTTACAATGCATTGGACCGATACTGAGATACGCCAGCCCTGCTTGGGGCTGCACAAGGCCAAACCAAATTAAAAAAACTGGATATAGCGCAAAATAAAATTTTACGACGTATCACTGGAGCACATTCCCACCTCCCAAACTCTTCCATCAGGAATGACTTAAAAATAGACAGCATTAGTGAATATATAAATAAACTCTGAATGCGACTTGGTATAAAAGGGCAAATAACTCAGATCCTGCTGATTGTAACAAAATTCTAATTCCCGATATAAAATACTACAACCCGATTACTTCAATTTTTCTCTCAGACATGATCATATCTAAATATTATCAATAAACAGGGTTCAAACAGAGATCAGAAGAAGAAATCCAAGGAGTCCAAAATTTAAAAACTTTGAGCAAAAAATAACCAGACAGTTTTTTTTTTAAATCAAAAAGCAGTAACTATAAAGATTTTTCGAAAATGTGTATTCAGATGTTAACGATTAACATAAAAACCTACCAATCTTATATTTTTAAATTTGAATACATAAAATCTAAGGCATTTTATACAATGAGAAAAAAAAACAGTAAATCATTAATTGAGTTTGCTTGTAACATGTAAAATTAAAATTATTTGCTGTTATTTTTTTCATCTAACCCTTGCAATTAAATTTTTTTTCTTCTAAAGTTTTTCTTAAACTATTAGATTTTGACAGCTAAGTCATGTAACATGCAATTTCATTCCCTTGCTTGGACAGCAAATTCATCAGCGAACTTAGTAACTTCATCTATGTAACACAATAACCTAAGGAGTTTCTAAGGACTAACTTGGAAATTTAAGTAGTTCTAAGTACTCCTTGGAGACCTTTTTATTTCCAAGGAGTATAAGGAGTCTGTACGAACCCTGATAAAGTCACAAACACACACAGCATATACACTGGACTACGGCAAACCCGGTGAAGGAGTAACTCTGAAAAGGGTCCGATATGGGCAAGCCATAGTATCCATTAAGTTTAGTACAGTGAGTAACCCGGTACGAGTGGTTGAATACCACGACGACCGGGTCCCTGTTGTAGCAGAGCCTTACACAAACTTTAACCATCATTAGTGTTACTTAAACATGTAAATAATTTATTAAATATGCACATAGATTAAATGCAGATTTAATCTGACCACCGCCTCTGCAATTCACCGCCATTATTCCAGGTGCCCACGGGCACAATCACCGATGACAGTATGAAGTGTCCGCTTCGCGGACAGGTACACTGAAATAGAACTCAGTTCAAGTTCACTTGATTCAATCATGAGGTACCTTTTGATAGATGAAGGTTGGCATGATCGATAACTCAGCCCCCACATTTTCAATGCATGTGATTATAAATCCTGATGATAAATTTTAAAATTGTATGAACATGAATCACATGCAATATTTGATTTTAAATCAGGGTTGGCAGGTTTTTGACATGTGACAGTTTTTGACAGTTTAAACCATGGTTTAAACCGTCACGTCAAAAACCTCACTATCAAAAATGTCGGAAATGTCAAAAACCCTATATTCATATGTGAAATTTAATAAATACATAAAATTTATATATTTTTTATAAAGGATAGTGTTTCTAAATGTGTTCTAGAAAAAATAAATTTAAAATTTTGAAGAAACACTTATATTTTGAATAGTACCTAACCAAAATCTTGTACTTTTGAAAACTGACATCTTTTGTATATTATGTATTCATTTTCATGTGTTATTGAAAATCTGCAGTGATATTATTAAGAAATTTATTTATAACCAAATTTAGTGTATAGTACAGATTATACTAAAACATTTAACATTTTTAAAGATAAACATTAGCAGTTTTGTACATTAGACATCTTCTTTTAAAGAAAAATCTTTTTAATATTCCTTTAAATCTTTTAACATAAGACAATACAAATTTAAGTGTTTTCTGTTAAATACACAGAGTAGTTAGTGTCGATTTACAGTATATTCAGCCTATTCATTTACTATGCTAAAAATTTAGTTTATCCAAATACTTGTGAATTTCATTTTGCTGAATACGATATAGTTTTGCTGAATGTAAATACAAATCGAGATATTGCATTTTTAAATCTAGTAAATATGAATCGCTATGTACGATACTTAAATCGCGTAAATAAGAAGCACAATGCACAACTCTTAAATCATGTAAATACGAAAATCAATGTTTGGTATTAAACTCCCATGAATAAGAATCTAGATATTAGTAAATTCTGGGCTTGGGAATTCTAAAAGACTTGTTTGTATTGCTTTTATTTGATCATAATAATTAGAAATATACAATGCTAATTGAATTAGCAAATGAATATTTTCACCGCAAAGCCCCTGATATTTTTTTATAATTATTTCATTATTTTCATGCCAGCAAACAGGAAGCAGCGACATCTGAATTACGAAAATAATAACTATATGACGGGCAGTTAAAAATATACAAAATCTTATTTTCTACACGTAAAATAGTTAAAAGAAGCAAAAATGCAGAAGGGTTGGCAACTACGAAATCAGAAACAAATATAATCATGTTATTTCAACAACTGCATTTCCAGAAAAATCTGAATATTTATTAAAGAAAAAAAAACTTTTAGAGAATCAGACTTTCGGATAAAAAGGCTGAAACTTAAAGGGCAAAAGCGAAAAAATCTCATCCCTGTATAATAATATCCCCTACCTAATTAACGTATTAACGAGAATGCCTCAGAACATAATTCTAATGAGATTAAGATTGCATTCTAATTCGGAAAAAATAAACCAAAAGTTATTCAGATTTAACCTTTATTTTGCGCACTGTATATAATGCCATAGTAAAGATAATTTTGTCTACTCCTTGTCTGGGTTACTTAAGACAATTAAATAAGAATGTGTTAAATAATAATTTAAAACAAAATTTGCTAAATAGATTGCATACAAGCCTTCTCATGGTTATATTCGTTTAATTATTTCGTACCTGCTAAAAAATATTTTTGAGGAAGTAACGAATACTCACTTGATCACCAAGGCAATTCGAATTATCTAACATAACAGTTGAAAGAACAAATGGACTTAGAAATACTTTTGGCGCGAGTGAATTTTGCAAGTTCGACATGGCTAGAAACTTAACCATACAGTATTATAGGCAAGCAAAACACAAACTTCATATCAAAATCAGTTTGAATGATTGATGTTAGTTGAAACTATTGAAACGGCATACTTCTGCTCTCTTCAAAGATATTTAAGCAGAAACAAAGAAATCATCCTGGTTTACAGAAATTCGAAAAAAATACCTGAGCACTGTGTGATCCATTCAAAAAAATAAATAAATAAATAACGGTTCACTGTGTGTTTCGATATGGGTCTACTTGTGTCTGTACGCACAACCGGTTGAGCAACTGCGCATGCGCAGAGCAAAACTTTTAGCGCCTCAGCCAGTTGCAAACGGCGAAAAGTTGCCAAATGTTGCACGCCCAGCACTTTACAACTCGTTGAGAGATTTTCGTCTTTGGATAGAATAGTTCATCAAATCATTACCAGATGACGCTAAGTTTCAACGACAGATGACGATAAAAGCAGCCATTGGGATATTTTTTCTGTGCTCGTGCTCCCTGCTATTGAAGATATTTGGTCAATTTAGGAATTGGTAACTGGGCGGAGTGAGCTTGGCGCTAGCTCATATCAATCAATCTTCTTATAACTTGGACAGAGATTGATTGATATTGATGGAAACTTGTTTTGCTTTGGGTAGTGTATAGCGTGAGGATGCCTGTGAATCCTCAGGAAACAGGATGACCCTTCCAGGCATGTTTTCAAGCATGCGCAGTATACTAATCATAATGAGTAACGCCTCCTCCCTGTCCTTCTTACAGACGTCTGCAGAACAGAAAATGGCGCGCTCATTTCCAGAATCAAAGCTCATTTCAAATCAAAGCTTATCAAGAAATAATAAAAGATTATTAAAAGGGTATGTAATTATATTTTATTCGAAGTATTGATTTTCTGCCTTTTCATTAGAAATGTGTATTTCCTTAATTGTTGAATGATCATCTTTTTTAATTAATTAATGAACGTTGAATGAATAAAAAGCTTTGCAAGAATCTATGTTCAGTTTCTTTCCTATTTTCTTTATTTGATGTTAAATGTACAATGTAATGACTGGTGATTAAGGCGTTAAAATGCAAAATTTGCGAACAGAAATCCGAATAAATTATTTATAGTTTGTAAGTGCAAATATATTTATACAATCCTTAGTATTTAACGATCATTCAATGTAAAGAAAAGGCAGCATTTCATGTATTGAATAAAATATATTTACTGCTCATAATAAGATCTCTTTTGTTCACTCGTTTTTCATTGACTCAAGAGTCTTCACATGATTATTTAATAAAAAATACAAAAGAAATATTTCATAATCATAACAAAATGTGACCCAAGCATACTCGTGATACAATTGGTGTGACTAATATAAAGCATGTTTCCTTAATTAGACTAAGCAATAATGTAAAATTTGAGGCACTTATTTATTGAGTGTAGGTAAATTTTCCGTCATATTTGAGGGGAGTATGAGTTCATGACAAAGTAATGAATTTAAAAAGTTTGGGCCAATATTTTTAACTTCAATGCGAAATAGAATAGACTTGATTAAAATCATCGACAAAATAAGGAAATTTTTGCATTAAATTGACTAACATAATTCGAATTAATTAGCACATAATTTTTGTATTCTTTTCCCAAACTCAATGTATTTAATTACAAATTTACACAAATCATTTTAAAAATTTCTTATATTTCAATAACGCCTCTGTAGATGGCACCACCACTATCTTTCTATCTAAACTTTTTTTTAACTGATGCTTCCCTTCCCTTCACCAACCTTTTGAGAAAGGATACGCATGAACGAAAAACTTACAAAATAGGCTGTTTACTCGACAGCTGGTAGCAATAAATTATGAAAGATAAGATGATTGAGAGGATCCTAAATATTTCAGATTAGAGTTAAAAAAATTAAACTTATAAGCATTCAAAAATGAAAAGTATTTAGGTGCACCTAAAAAAAGCAATCACAGGACGTAGCATAAATAATTTATGTAGTTTCATTATAAATATGTTTTGTGATAAAAATTGTTTAAGATTTTTGCCCTATTGTTCAAGTAAACAGCTGAGTTTGAAAATTGAAATGAAATACATGAACAGTAAGAATAATTAATAAGTTCGAAAATAGGTACAACAGTTACAGTTGAAATATCAATATTAAGTTTTATTGTGATAATAATGTTGTTCGACTAACACATTTATTCTTTAAACTAGATTGTATTTAATAATTATTTGCATTTTTTTCCACGTTTTATTCATTAAAAGTGATTAATTCTTACACAGTTGAAAATTCAAATGTAACGTAATCTTTAAAAAAAAAAATTCCAATACAAATTTTACAATTTGTTTTCAACTTCAGAAATTCCATTTCCATCCATCTGTACNAGGCTGAGGGCTAGCTGTTTTTGCTTTCCTCGGTGAAATAGATATCCCACAATTACAAATTGATAATTTGTAAGCTACAAATCGTTTGCGGTCGCCCCCTTTTACATGGTGGACGCTAGAGGAAGGGGGTTTGAACGGCGAGAGGACCACTCGTCTGGTCAGCAGATGGGGAGATAAGGAGTGATAGATTTAAATGACCCCGTCCGAGGAGTCTGTCGAGGCACACGTAGGCACAAGCCATTTTACATGCAGAAAGGTAGACCCCCTGGCCGGCTGTGGTCAATGGCACGTGGCATCCATATCTAATTGGTTGATATCCGTGTCTAATGAGGGAGGGCTTTCCTTCAACTTTGCGAGGTTGCTCTCTCCGTAACGAGGACCAATACTGCACACCCACAGTCCTTACGCAGACTGATCCAAGTGGTCACCCACCAGCACACAGACCGCAGTCAGTGATGCTTGACTTTGGTGATCTGCTGGGAACCATGCCTTAACGATCAGTCCACTGCGGGACTAAAAATCTTATATATATATATATTATACACTCCATAATGTGTCAATAGTTGTGTTCTTATACACTTTTTAACTATAAAAATTTTTTCAGAATAAAAAGTAAGGATATATCATTTAAAGTTATAAATTCAAAACGAAAAATCGAAACACAGTTAAACACAAATCAGGAGAATTCATACTTTATTGAATAAAAAGATAACATGAAACAGTATCACAGTTAGTTATTATAAAAATGAATTTCCAAACAAATAGTTCACATCTTCTTTCAATAAAGAATTTACAATACCTAAAGAACAGAATTACTAATGAAATATGCCTAAGAAATATAAAAGCTACAAAACGTTTTCTCAAATGAAAAAGCTTTTTAAATGACATCAAATTCTTGATATTGTAAAGAATTTTAAAAATTGTATTAACAGCAAATACAACCAAAACGTTGAAAAGTACAGTCTTGTTATAAGTAATTAGTAGAAGGAGGAAAACAAAAAAAATCATTGCAATAATTTTTATTTTAATGGTTTTATTTAGTAAATTGCAATTTTCAGAGTTCAGATGGGAGATCACTTAATTGATTAATATTAGCTTTTGAACATTGAATCATACAGAAAGTCTGGATAATAAACATTTTTGTTGTTTTTTGAACTCTTGAAATATGAAAAATATTTGCAAGTTTATTCAATAAATATGTGTAAGTACTATAAATCAAAAACTTGATTTTATGAGTATGTTATATTAAAGAACCTTGCTTTGAAAATGATTTGCAAGGCACTGTCAATGAGGCAATATTATGTGATTATAACAAGCAAAAGATAATGAAATATGCACTATAACATCAAAAATATTTAAATGAAACTATTTTTCTTCTTTTTCATCTTTTCAACAAAAAAATGGATTTTCTTTCTTCCATTAGTAGAATTCTAGCTTTTTCAATTTCTATATTTCTTGTGATAACACAAAATTATTGATATCAATCATGTCTGTCTCTTCCATATAAAACACATTATTTTCTACACTACTACATTTTTAATAGCCTCTACATAAGCTGATGTTTGAACAACAAAGACAAATGATTTCAAGTGATAAAATTGGGGGGAAATGAAAATCAATAAAGTAATTTAGTAAATGAAAGAACTCTGTTTTCCAGGATTTCTTTGCTGGAATGCAAAAACAAGAATTTTATGTACTCAGGATCTCTGCAAAACAAATAAGCAGGTACACAAAATTATATACTTTAATAAATTTAAAGGAGTACATTATGAAAAAAAAAATCAACCAATAAGAAAGTTGGATAAAGTAGTAAGTATCCACTCTATTATAATAAATGGCATTGTGTCTAATATAATAATAGGATATATATAATGGTAGACTTAAGCACTGTTTACATAGAAATTGATAAAAGAGTAGAATTAATTGGAAAAAATAATTATTATTAGCTCCATACATTAGATTTAAAATTTGAAAGTAATGTAACTAAACATAATGTTTCATATTGTTGATGTAGAAAAAAAAATTTCTAGATTAATGTAACTAATAAAACTATGAGGAATTGTGAATCAATGAATAAACACTTATCAAAATTATATTTTACAAAATTATGTAAAAGCATAATTTGACCATGAAAAGATGGTTTGAATCAGAGTCAGTTTAGCAATGCTTGAGAAAGATAAAATTAGCAACAACTATTAGCTTAAGTTAGACTATTAGCTTTCTCTACAAATGAAACATACTTAAAAAAAATAACAAAAAAACTTTATATGGGTGATTCTCATGAAACATGACAATTCGGACTAAAGAATTTCTTCAAATTCAAAGTCTTCAAAATAATCTAATTTTTTTGCATATTTTTTTAGCTACACTTATTAATATCATATAGTCAGCAGTGTAGTTTATTGACATTTGCTCGAGAAAAAAAATAAAATAGAAATTCACCAAACCTTGAATGCCAGGAAAATGACATATTACCTTAGAAGTTTAAAAAACAGTCATTTTAAGTTAATAGTAAGTAACTCAACTTAAGCCTTTATGTTAGATGGACCATAAATTGCCTAAATTACTTCTTTTTACCCACTGTAGAAAGAAACAAAAAAATTTTTGTTGCTGATATGTGCAGAATAAAATTGTGTATAATAATCAATCATTAAATAAATAAATAACTTTGATTACATCCAAGCATATTACAATCATACATAAACTTGGTATTAGGTTAATATTTGCTTTCCCTCTTTACAGTATTAGCAGTTAAAAAGAATTTCTGGTAACACTTCAATGTCCTGGCATTCATAAGCCAGGAAAATGACAGCCAGGATAATGACAAATTCGCCATTTTATAGCATATAACTTTACTTTAATTTAATATTTTGGCCGAAGACGTTTATATTCTGCAGAAAACAACAGTATTTCTTAAAATAACTCAGATAAATCTATGTAGTTTTTGTTATTAATGATTTCAAGAAGCCAGGAAAATGACAGCATAAAAACCTACTCACCTTGAAAAATTTTTTGAAATAGATTTTGAGCCAGAAAATTGGTTCTTTATTCATGCAACAAGACATGTTCAGATAGGAGGGTATCTAATCAATCTATTAACATAAGATATTGATTCCTGGCGCTATCTATTTTGGTTATAAATCACTAAATGAAAGTAGCCAGGAAAATGACAGATTTTCATGGGACAAACAAATTATTGTCAGAAAAAAATTATTTTAAACGAAGTTTTAGTTAACAACACCCTCTGCGTATATTCTAGAAATGCTTACATAGGATAAGATTAAAAAAAATTAAATTTTGAAAAATGTATGGGGAGTTTTGAAGCCAGTTATTATTGGAAATATTGTATGGGACATGCCAGAAAAATGACATTTTGATATTCAATAAAATTTTTTAAGTATACAAAACAGTCAATGCCAGTGCAAAGTCATTTTAAAATGCTAACAGCAATCCCATTTATTAATTTTTTTTTTAAAAAAAGTTCTTTTAGTATTATAGTATTAGATCTTGGAGCAAGGGACAGTGGATGTCATGTTTCGTGAGAATCACCCATATACCATTTTATAACAGCCAGAGGGATATTTGCATTCATTATTGTCAAGTTTTACAAACAAAACTTTCAATAGTCTAATGCATCAGTGAGGGATATAATGTTAATTTAGTTGGATTAAAGCAAATTAATCTAAATTTTGGCCTGTAGAAGTTACTATGTGACTATTGAGTTAAGTGATATAGATGAATTCCTGTCTAGTTCTTTGCACTCAAAGGAGACCAATGTAATTTTGTTCGACACTTTTTAAACATTTGATGAGAAATTAGAATAAGCTATCTACTTGAAAATAAATGCCCTACATTGTTTTAACGAGATGAAGGTGGGAAAGTTCTTTACTGTTCACTTTCATATTCTAGCTTAATGAGAATCAAGAACTGCAGTTATTGAATTTAACAGAATATCAATCATCAGATATTATAAAACTGAAGGAGACTTCAAAAACAAATAGATCATCATCACTTAAATGGCCTTTTTTTATGTAGGGTTGTTCAAAGCAAAGCTAAGAACAAGGTTGACAGATTGCTTATGCTTTCAATCATATTTTAAAAATAAAAAATGTATTTTAATTATATTTTATAGCTAAATATATAAAGCAAATATTTTGGAATTTATGAATATCATTATTTCATATTATTATTAATTAACAATATGAATTTAAAACAACTAACTTTTAATTTTGTAAAAATTTTAATGCATTTCCAGAGACATTTAAGAAAAACTGTAGAGAAACCCTGTTGTAAATCAAGCTTTGCAAAAGCTACAAAATTATATAATCCAATTAACAATTGAAAAGTAAAAACAATCAACACTGTATTCCTTGAAGCAAACTGCTGTTCAAAGTAAAAGAGGTGGAAAAAGCAAATTTTATTTATTAAAATTATTTCTTACTTGCCAACAGCTCATGCTTTGACAGTAATTTTTCCACCCTAATATATTTAAGTCGCCCCGTGGCTGAGCGGTAGCACTTCGCGCTGTCGTGCCACAGGTCCCTGGTTCGTTCCTCGGGCCAGGCAAGGTTGACTCAGCCTTTCATCCCTTCAGTGGGTCTGAGTTTAGTAGTTTTAGTAATATATTAAGTGGTAGGAAAAATTAAACTTGGCAACTTTATTTAATTAATTTGACTTACAATAATTTTTATCACCACTACATCTAAACAATTTAAACAAATTCTGGTGACACTGCAGTCAAAGTAAAAGAGGTTGAAAAAGTCAATTTTATTTATTGAAATTTATTTATACTTCCCAACTGACATTTTGAGTTATTTTTTTCAAATATATTAAGTGGTAGGAAAAATTCAACTTGACAACTTTATTTTTTATTTAAATAATTTGACTTACAATAATTTTGACTATCCCTACATCTAAACAATTTAAACAAATTCTGGTGATACTTCAGGGAAAAGTTTTGGTGCTGGCAAAATTAAACAAACTAAGCATACTAAAATAGTTAATTCTCTATAAATTCAAATATTGTAAGGAGATAGGAATTTTGGGTTGGCATGCTTGCTTATTTGCTTTTTATACTTAAAAATTATGTTTACTTATAAAAAGTAGCTTGTTAAATGACAATTTTTATTGTTATATTTTCCATATGATGGGTTGTAACTGTAATTGAAGTAAAGCACTCGTACAACAGCCCATTTCTCAGCCAGAAGGGTCATAGAGGTTAAGGTTTGAAATTGAAAGCCTAATCGCAGCATTTTGTGCTTATACTATATTTTTTTTTTGCATTTTATGTATATCTTTGCAATTAATTGTTCAAAAAAAATAATAAATACAGTTGTGAAATTCGTTTACACACAAAATAATGGCAAGAATTTTAAATAAGTAATTACTATTCTATTAATTAAAGTGTTCTATTAAGCAAAGTTTCTATTAATTAATTGTGAGAAAAAGTTTATTATGTCTGATTTTAAAATTTGATTTGTCATGACATCTTTGGTGACCTTTTAAACTTTGAGAATTGAGAAAAGTCTGATTGTTGAATTGAAACTTAATATTTTTTTCATTTTGCTAAATATACATTATGAAACAAAGACAAAAAAACATGTGTAAAAGAAATTGGAGAATAAAATTAAAGCAATACATTTGTACTCAGCCATCTCAATTTTTAAATTGTACTTGATGTCTCACTGTTACTTTGTGACCATAATACTTTTAAAAACTGAGCAATTTCTAGTAACTATGATTGACATTAAGTTAAGCAAAGCATTTTTTTAGGAATTTCCATAAAATAATTAAAAACAGACAAAATTGCTAAAACAAAAGAAAATCAAATTAGTAATAAGTATACAGCAATTAAATAAAATTTTTTGCAAAATGTTTAGAATCACAGTAAGATAATGAGAGTAAAATAAAATAAATTTAGGCATTTGAAACAAGACGTTAAAGGTGATGAAAAAGAACAAAAAAAAAATCAATATAGTAACATCAATATTCCAGTTAGAAATAAATTAACATAATATGAATCATTCTATTCGAAAATGAATTTTTTCTGAAAAAAATTTCAAATAGAAAATTCTAATAAAGAACAATAACAGCTTTCCCTCCTTACAGTATNAAAATGATATAGATATAAAATATAAAAAATACAAATATAAAAAAAATTAACTTACAAGAATTTCAAAGCAAATTAGTTATCAGTGCCTTGGATTAAAGAATATTCTTAGAATTTCATATCTTTTCTTACATTCATTTAGAGAATTGCATTATTACCATATAAATTTTGTGATAAACCAAAGTAAATTGCTTAAGTAATTTTATGTATGCTTGTGGTTAGGCTTTAGGAAACTGTGACCTATGATATAAGATAGCTATCTTTTCAAACTTTTTTTATTTCACATCTTACTTCCTTTTTTATTTTAAAAGGGTACTAATTAAACAAGACAAGACAGTAAAATAAAAATAATATAGTTGTAAAACAAAAACATAAAAAAAATTACCTTATAAGAATTTCAAAGCAAACAAATTATTCTTACCTTAGCCCAAAGAACTTAAAAATAACATAAAAAATTCACTTACAAGAATGACATTTAAAATTATAAATAAATTAGATTCAAAATATGGATTTAAGATTAAGGACATTAGTAGATATATTATATTAGATTAAATAGATAATAATAAGTAACTGGACATAGGCTGACTTGATAATGCTACTTAATAGGCTGACTTAATGACTTTAGTAATTGACTTTATAACGAACCATAAATAAAGAAACTGTATACAAATAGTAGTGGGAAAATTCCATGACACTGCATGAGTAAAAGAATTAACATTTGAATAAGTTTAAAGAAAAATTAAAAAATAACTGCCTAAATATTCAGTGCTTTTTTTAAATATTTTATTCTTTAGTTTAGCCTTATGGTTATGTACTACAATACATGATTTTTATTCGTTTCATACAAAAGTAGGAAATTGAGTTTGAGATTCATGCATTAGATTATTATATTAACAACTGCTGCATTAGTAACAACACCACCTATATCTTAAATTCATAGCTTCCAACCAAGAAACAGGCATGTCAACATCTAAATTTGTGTTCAGTAGGTGTGATTTAAGAAGAAGAAAAAAAAAAGAGTTGCCAAATGTTACCCAAAAGAAGATCAGACTTGGAAAAGTTAAAAATATTTAAAATTATTTACAAAATTTGAAAACCAAATGAAATCAAAAGAATGCAATGTTATGTCTCTTTTTATTAATTTTCTATTTCAAGCATCTATATTTTTTAGTCCTGCATCAATATTTTGTTTTGAAAATTTGTACATATAAAATCATTTAAATTTGTTAACTCAAAACAAATTTGATAAAAGAATATCTAAAGAAACTTGTTAATTTTAAATAAAAAAAATACAGAATGGTTTTGCTGCAAACATACATACTTATAAAATAAATCTTATCAATTTTCATGTTTTAACTTATATTACTAAAGAGAAATTAACTTAATAAATAGATTTAGGAACAGGTTTGCTAAAACCTGAATTGAAGAGCTTTTGTTTAAATATTAGACTTCTGAATTAATAATAAACTTGTATTAAACTTATTTTCTTTTTGAGAATTTTAGTTTTAAAAAGTGACTCATATTATGAAAACAAACAATTTAACTTCCTAAACTATAAAAATTTAAAAAAAACTCATTTCATATTTTACCCAACTACACTCCTTGTCAATTTAATAAAACAAGCGCAACATACTATTGAGTTTATAAAATGAAGTGAAGAAAAAGTTATCAAATTATGGTCAAAATAGAAAAATTTAAAATAACTGAATTGATATCATTTGAAATGTAATGAAAGCTAATTCAACCATGATTTCACTTTATTTAGACTATTTTAAACAGAATGAGTACACATTTGATAGAAAGCATGTTCATTAGCTCTATTCAGATTACAACTGTTATATTATTTTTCTAATTGAAACTTCCTGCATATGTGTATTTATACATGAACTATTATTCTTGAAAGACTGGTATGGTTTTGGATTTTTTCACTTCATTAATGAATGTAAGATTATCATTTTTCCCTACTTGATACCTAATAAATTTTGTAAAAAACATCTTTAATTACTTGCCCCTGAAACTGATTAATAAAATTTTACTCACACATAAAGTGCCCTCTATATTTATGATTAAATAGACATGCAATTTACGTTAAAAGTATGCTTGAAATATTTCGATTCTAAAAAGTTAAAACTGTTTTGCTAATATAAAAAACAGTAAAATCTGTTTACGATACACTTAAGCCTTAGATTAGCAGAAATGCTTGCTAAGGAGTTGCCTTATGTATTTAGATGTAAATACGAGACCTTGCTAAGTGTATCAATGAATGTCGTTAGCTTCGACATATCAAATACAATCGATTGTAAAAACTGTACCAAATGATTATTAACTTTGACACACATGATAAATAATGAAATTAAAATATCATTTTTCTGTGCAAAAAGATATTTTTTTCATGGTAATAGATTTTATTTTTGTCTTTTTCGCTGAATTCTTCCTTTTGAGCGATTTTTTTTATTTAAAAAAATAAACCGTGAAAAATTTTTGCAAATTTTTTTATTACACTTTTTTTTTTCACTTAGAAAAGTTTTTTTGCAATTATATTTTGAAATTGCTAATATGTTTTTGAAAAAAAATGTTTCAACATTTTCTAAATAATTAAATGTGAGATAATCATGCCTTAAACATGAATTGCATTTATTTTCTTTTTTAAACATATAATAATGATTAAATTAAAACTAGGTAATGATTTTACAATATCTAGTTGTACTATTAAAATTATTGCTCAAAACACTATAAATAATAATTATTTTTTAAGAAGGATTCACTTTAGAAAGGAAAAATTGAGATAAAATAAAATAAAAAATAATTAGACAAGAACATTTACAGAAAAAGTAAAGCCGATAATACTGTTGAAAATTTAAATTGACAAATGCAAACTAGCTTTTAATATATACACATCATTATCAAATAATAAAGCGACTTATTTTTTTTAGAAATCGAAATAAATGTTTTTTTCTCTATGTTTTTGATTAAAAATATAATATATATATATATATATATAAAAATAGAGTTTACAAAATTAAATAAATCCTTCTCTTATTGACTTGATTTTATATGCAAGGTTTTAGAAAATAAAATATTTTCACTTAGCTAAGATTATCCCAGCTTTTGCATATTTTTATTATTTGAAAGAAACACATTTAAAATGTAGCAGTTTCAGGTAGTATTCTTTTTTTCATCAACCACAAAGAATACAAAATATTGATTGCAGTAAACAGGTTGTGAGAGAAAGTTTCCTTTGTGTCGGACTTATTACAGAAGGCATGTCTTTTTTTCTTAATTTAACACAATTGGGATTAGTTTTACACAAAATGTACTTTGTAGAAATGATTTTTTTCTCCTAATTTTCAAAATCAGATAATTATTATTTCTTGCTCTGAGATAAGTCTTAAAGTAAAATGTTAAACGTTTTAAGCATAAGACACTTAGACATCTGTTATATGGAACATTGGTTGATTTTTAGTATTGTCAGCATTTTTAGTACAAGTTTAGATAAGCGCTTAAAAAAAACTGTATTTTCGAAGAGAAAGTATTTTAATTTACATTTATTTGTGTTAATTACTACAGACTAATTTTCTTTCCCATACTAAACAAAAAAGTGTTTATCCCACCTTTAAAAATACCTTTGTTCAAAATAAATTATCATGATTTGGTGATTCTAAAAATATGAAGTAACAATTTTAACATACAGTAACTAATAATATAAATTTCTTTCATGTATTTTATTACATTTATATGGAGAAAATGATAAATTAAAAATGAATGATTTTTTTTCATCTCAGTCCTGTTAACTTTTATTTATTTTATCACATTAGTAATTCAGCATCTTCTAATTATAAAATTCTAATGATATTTTAATAATATTTTATTCCTCAATCAAGAAGTAAAGTTAAAAAAAAGAAAATTTTAGTTAAGAGTGTGTAGTAAAAAATTCCTAAAAAATATTATCAAAAACTAATATAATGCATAAGAATAAAATTTTTTTTAAAGAATTTGAAGGAAAATTCAGCATTTATTAGTATGATCAAAATGGTAGAAACATAAAAATACTTAATAATACCTAAATATTTTAGTTCCTACAGTTGTTAAAATTACGCAAATTAAATTTATTAATAGTTTTCCTCACATATTAAAGCAAATCAATTTATTTAAAGTTTTACAGTCTCCTATTTATCAGAACATATAAGACAGTTTAATATTTTCAAGTCATTTTCAAATATTAATCTCTTCTAAACCAGTTAGTTGAATATGTAGTCGAAAGTTATTTCTTGAATGAAATCTAAAAAATCAATTTCCTACTCGCAAAATGTTTAGAAATTGATAATAATCCATTTTGGGTTTAATGAGATTAGTCATGTCTCCAACCATGCTAGATTTTAGTGTTCAAGGTTGCCACTTTTTAAGCATGATCACCGTTGAACACGGATTTAAGTTTAGTTTCAGATTGTGCTTATTCTAACCTAAATTAGCAAGGTTTCTGAATATGGGCTTAGTCTAAAACAGAAAAATTTACAAGTGCCTGCAAACTATATATTAAATACTGACGGCTTAAATAACATAAGTCAGAGTCTACCTATAACAGAATGGGATTTGAGACCTTAAGCAAAGGTAAATTTCTTGAAATGGTTACTGTAATCCTTAATTCTTGGTACTTAAAATTGTAAATAGAATGCATTTCCTCCAAAAATAAAACAATTTTTGCTTTATATATTAGAGATAAGCATATGGCAATTTTATATAATAGTTATAACAAATGAAATATTTCATAATAGAGAAAACAATATGTATAATTCTATTTTATACAGAAATGGTGATAATGTGATATGAAGATACTGTTTAAGTAAATATAAAAGGAAAGAAAGAAATAATTTAATTCACTAAGAAGAAGATATAACTTATCACAAAAACATTAATTGAATAACAAATGATTTTGAGATCGGAAAATCTTATTGAATACCAAATAGAACGATAGTTTGATAGTCCCATTCACATCACATGAGCGATCAAGAAAAAGAAAACATGGGAGTAGATATATAACACCACTGCTATATATTCATTGCACCAATGAATAAATTTATAATACTTCCCAAAATATCAGTTGACTTTAAACTTCATTTGAATGAAAGACTAATTTACTAAAATGAACTAAGTGAGTTATGGAAAAGGAAGATAAGACATTACAAATTAATTTGGATTAGTTTATTTTTTAAAAATGAACAATACATACAAAGAAGTTTGAAAAACAGAATAAAATACTATGTCCATTTCTTAAACACACATTTCAAGCTAAGTCCATTCGCGTAAACATGTATTCCAAATGTTCCTTAACCGTTCCTCTAGAAATATGAAATATCT